CTGCCAAGGTTTCCCCTTTTTCCCTCGAAGCTGACAAAGACAGATATGGATAAAAAAGGAGAACGAGAAGGAGATTTGGAAAAAAGATATGGAAAGAGAGAGCGAGAGAGATAAAAACAAAAGAGAGGAAGAGATGATATATATATATAGAGAGAGAAAGAAAAAAAGAAAGAAAGAAAAACAAAAAAAAAGAGAGAGAGAGAGAGAACAAAAAAAAAAAAAAACTCACACACAGACGGACAGACAGACAGACAGACGGACAGACAGACAGACACACAAACAAACAGACGGACAGACAAACATTTGTTCCGTCGGCGGCGAGACGGGACAATCCGCTCCAGCGTGGCAACAATGCAGGGGCACTACAAAGCGACCTGGCCGGCATGCAGGAGGAGAGGAAAGGAGAAGGCGGCCGCGGGGGGGGAGAAAGGCGAGCACTCAGAGGCGAAGACTTCCGCCATGAGCCGCCGGAGCGGCCCGCGGGCGGCGGGGGCGGCGTCCAGGGGGCTGGCGCGTCAGCTGGGCAGTCCGCAACAGCAAGCGCGATGCGCCGAACAAGGAGAAACAGTGCAAGCGCCCAAGGATGACCCTGAGCGAAATGCCACAAAGGCGTACTTTAGTTGGGCCTGCGACTGTCCACTACGCCACGCTCGAAACTGTGGAAGCAAACGGTCCAAGTTCAGCGCAAGCCCACGTGAAGTGCGATGGCAGTCCCTGCGACTGTCCACTGCGCCGTGAGCTTCACCAACACTGGCCGATGCCCCGCGCGGCGCTGCCACGGCGCCTGGAGGGAGGGGGGGAGAAAGCGGGCGGGGAAGGGGAAAAGCAACACGGAGTCAAGGAGAGCCAACCCCGTCAAGAAGCGCGGGGGCCAGCGAGGCGACCGGAGGTGCCAGGCCCTGGGGCGGTCTGCTCCGCGGGGAGGTGGGCGTGACCAGGTAATGAAGGACGCCGAGCGGGGAGGGCACGGGCGGGCGCACGGGGGCGCCAGCGGCCACACTGCACAAGCGCAGGCGACAGGGAGGGCAAAATTAACAAGACCGACACAGGCGACTGGGGGCGCCTTGCCCAGGGGCGGCCGATCCACAAACGGTGGAGGGGGCCAGAAGGCAGGGGGCGCGGGGACAGGGGGGCAAAGGCTGGCGCGGGGGCGCGGGCGACCACACTGCGATGAGGCACAGACGGAAGGAGCAAGGCGAGCGGAGCGGGGGCGGGCAAGGGAGGGCGCATGGGGGCGCCGGCGGCCGCACTGCCCAGATGCGAGCGACACGGAGGGCAAAATTGCAAGACCGACAGAGGCGACCGGAGGTGCTGGGCCTGGGGGCGGGCGCTCCACAAAAGGTGGAGCGGGCCAAGCGGCTGAAGAGGCGGGGACAGGCGGGCAGAGGCGGGCAGAGGCGGGCGCGGGGGCGCCGGCGGCCGCACTGCGATTGGGCGCAGACGGCGGGGTAGAGGGCGAAGCCGAGGGAAGGCGCGGAAGGAGGGCCGCGCCACAGGGCACCGGAGTGGCGCAGCAAGCGGGCGAGCCAAGGGTAACGCACCGCCCCGACGGACAGCACGAGAGGGCGAGCAAGGAGCGGCGCACGGGTGGCGCGGGAAAGGGGGAGGCCACACGCCGCCCCGACGGACAGCACGCGGTGGCGAGCGGGTTGAAGCCACGCTGGCGGGGAGACCAGGGAAGCACCGGAATGGCGCAGCGAACAAGTGAACAGAGCCACGCGCCGCTCCGACGGACAGCACGCAGCGGCCGCTGACGCTGTAGGCGGTGGCGGCGGGGGCCAGAGAGGAGGCGGCTAAACCGACGCAGGGAAAAGGAGAGCCGAGCGCCGCCGCCAGGACAGCAGGTGGCAGCCAGCGGGAGCCGAAGGCAGCAACGCAACTGGGAGACCAGGAAAGCACCGGAATGGCGCAGCATGCGGGCGAAGAGGCGCAGCCCACCGCCCCGACGGACAGCGCGCGCAGGATGAAGAAGGACAGGGTGCGCCCGCGGCCAGGGGGTCAGCTGACCCGAGCAGCTGCGCAGCGCGAGCGGAGGTAGCCGCCAAGGATGGGCGCGTCAGGGGGGAGCACGGCACGAGCTCCCAGGGGCGCTACCCAGACATCACGCAGCAAGCGCTGCCAGCGGGCGCAACATGCCGGATTGCTGCGCCCGGAGCTGAAGGACCCCGTCGAGGAGGGTGCTGCGCGCCGCAACGTCTAGCCAAGCAGGCAGCGCCGACGGGCTGCAGGGGGCCAAGCTATGAGCGCCTAGGTCTGGCTGCCGGTGCATGGTCCCTGGCCGCGTCGGGCGGGCGCTTCCCTTTGCCTTTGTCCGGTGGCGGCGCGCCCTTGCCCTGCGGGCCCTCGCCAAAGCGGGTGGCCGGGTCGTAGCGCCGCGTGTCACGTTCGCGCTGCCTGCCCCATACATCGCCCCAGGTGATGCGGATGTCACGGCCCCAGCATAGGATTCCAATGTCGAAATGCCAACAGTGCATATCTTCCATGAAATTCGTCGCGCCCACGTGGGTTGCACTGCCCGCCGCCTCTGTCACGCCGATCGCGCTGGTCGCGGACCGCGTGCCAGCCTTCCACAAACAGGGCTCCGCAACCTGATTTGAGGCCATGGACATCCTCGCGCCAGGTCTCCACGTGAACGCGACGGCCGTGTGAACGCCGGAAGGTGATGCGTCGCCGCGGCTTTTTGTAGAGGGTGTCGGTAGGCCTCCCCGCCTCTTTCCAGCCCCGACTGGCGCGCTCCGCGGGCCAACCTGGGTCGGCGCGCAGGTCTGGGCGGCGGCGGGGGCCAGGCGCGCGCATGCACCCATCCTGCGGGCTGGAGGCGGCTTGGGTGCTGGCGGTGGCTGCGCCACCAGACTGGGCCGCTGCAGGCGCCGGGTTAGCTCGGGCCTCGGCGTTGGCTGTCGGTTGCGCTGTAGCCTGCGCTGCTGCAGCGGGGCCAGGGGCTGTGATGCTGCCGCCAGCACGGCTGGCCGTCGACGTCATCCCGAGAAAGCGCCCAGTGTCGGTGGCTTCCAGGAGCGCGGGAGTGACTACCCATGCCAAGTTAGCGGTGTCCAATCCATCCCAACTGGGCGCCCAGACCTGTCCTACTCTGATGCTGACGTACCTGGCGGGCCCATGCGGCAGCTAGACTCCTGGCAAAGTCGCCTCCTCGACTGGACCAACCAGGGCACCGCGGTCGGCATCTGGGCTGAATCGCACTCCCATGCCATCTGGCTCTGCGTGCCACTCCAGAGGCGGACAAAAGGGAGCCGTCTCGAGCCATGACGTAGTCCCCAGGGAGTGGAGCAGTGGCTTGGCCCATCGCCGCGCGGAGGATGGCGATCTGTTCGGTAGGCAGGATACCTCGCCTGGCAGAGACATCTTCCTCGTGGTGATCAGGGGGCCAGTCCGCACTGACCTCCGCTGGGGTTGCCGGCGCAGGACCGGTTGCTGGCGCAGCAAGGGCAGGCTGCGGGTTCCCAGAGTCGGTCGCGGGGCTGGCGGCGGGGCGCACGGGGGAGGCGCCGGCTGGCGCCTGGGTGTTTTGGGGCGGCATCGAAAGGGGCACCGGCGAGTGCCTGGTGGGCGCCCACGTGCTGCTTGCAGCGGGACCCGGTGGTGGCGCGGGCGAACGATCTGCCCAGCCTGGGGCTGAGCTGGCGGCCCCATGCTGCTGACTTCGGCTTCGGCTGATTGTCGCCACTCGGGCTGGCGGGGCGTAGTTGGCCAGCGGCGGGGGCGCCAGGGTCTAATTTTTCGGGGTCGCGAGGAAGGTGGCGAGCTCGGCCTCACTGTACCTCGCGGGGCCCTCTCCGCTGATGGAGATATCGGAGCCGAGGAACGTGCGCCAGCGCCCTTGCAGGTTATCTGGCCTCGGGAGGCCCCCTTTTGCTTTTATTGCGAAGAAAAATGTGCCACCACGCGTTGAATTGCGGCCCGGCGACCGCCCCAGGGAAACCCAGCAAGAACGCCGCCCTCCGGGACCTCGTCTCCGCAAAATGTCCTAAGGAACTGAAGGCACTCGACCTCTGACAAATGCCGCGAGAGACGTGGCACTGGTGCGCCCTCGGATCCGTCTGGGGTTTGCAGCTGATGCTTCTGGTCGGCCCAAGTGGCCCATGCCGTCTGGACACCGTCGCCCAGATTCAGGGCGAACTGCACCACTTCTCGCGCGATCGGGCGCTCCAAGTAACCGTCGGCAGAGGCCAGGCCGTCAAGGGTGCGCACCCTGAGCCGGGGGCAGTCTGGGACAAGCATGGGCGCCATGTCTTCAAGCACGTCTGAGAGCGCGCAGGCGGGCACGAGTGGGGGAACTACGTACCAGGGGTCGTTTGGCAGCTCGTTGGCGGGCCCGGTGGCGTCGCTATCCAGCAGCGGACACTCTGTGAAGGACTCTCCTCCGATTCTGTGGATGAACCCGAGGAACACGTTGGAGTTGAGCAGGCATGGCAGCTTCTGCACTCCGTCTGCAAGGGTAGGGTCAAACACCCGCCAAGATCCCTCTGCTCTGGCATCCTTTACGGTAACCCAGCTGACCAGGCGCGCGAGCATAAACTGGCGCACCAAGGTGGCCTAGGTCCAGTTGTCGCGATCCGTAGGCCTGCTGCCGTCTTCCCACGAGTTCCCGAGAAGCCGCGGAGGGTGGCAGCAGGGACGTCTCGGGGAGCCATGGACCCTTGCCTGAGGTTGCGGGTGCAGAAGCTGATCCAGTGCTGGTTACTGATCGTACCGTAGGAGCGCGTTTCCTTATGATCGGCGGTGACGGGCGTCATGGGGGGGGGAGGGGGGAATGACATAACGCCCCCCTCCCGCCGTGTGGCTCCGGCACCACAGCCGCGCCCGCGCGCACGACAACAATGAGCGACGAGCGACGAGCGACCGACGACGACGACGACGACGACGACGACGACGACGACGACGACGACGACGCGAGCATCAGGTAGGTGGCGATCTGCCCCGCAGCGCCTGTGTACACCACAGTGCTCGCGTGCACCACAGCGCGCGTGTACACCACAGCG